TCTGACAGACAAGGAATCAATTTTGACACACACCTTCTCGAAAATTGGCCGATCAACAACAGAGGGATTTTCGAACATTATAATTTAGTTTCGAAGTGTCAAATTTAAGTGAAAATTCACCAAATGGACCACAGCCTAAGTTCTTCTCGAAAGCCGGTCGATCGACAGCACAGGGATTTTCGAACATAGAAAATAACTTTCGAAATGTCACTTTTAAACACGAGTTAAATTTAACTCGGCAAATGGTTCACAGCCCTAATGTCACATTGTTGGAGCTTGAATATGCTTTGGAGCAGCAGCGCTATTGATTTTTCTGACAGTTTCAAGAACTGAATCTCATTGCAAGGAGTTGGGTGCACACACTAATGATGAACTCGCTTATAATTTTCCTTTCCAACCTGGATCGGGTATCAACATTGGGTGTGCTTTTTTTCTGAACAACGTCAGTTTGATCGTTTGTTTTTAAAACCTACCTCATGTTGAGGTTCACACTGACACAAAATTCGGTTTCGATAATAAACCAATTCACTATAATATTGGTTTGCCGAATCTCGGTAGATCCGGAACCACCGAGCAATATTTTTTACTGAGATCTCAACAAAAATTGAACTTGCTGAGATCTCAGCAAATCAGCTGAGATCTCAGTAAAACTTATTGTCGAGCTGCTCGGTGGTGCCGGAATTACCGAGATTCGGCAAAGCAAACTAAGGCTGTGTTCCATTTAGTGATTTTTTACTTAATTTTGACAGATGGAAAATTTAAAAATAAACCATCTATTCTACCAGACATAGTTCCGACAAACCAGGAATCAGTTTTGACAAACACCTTCTCAAAAATCTGACGATCAACAATAAAGGGACTTTCAAATTTTATATTTTGTTTTCGAAGTGTCAAATTTATGTAAAAATTCACCAAACACAGCCTAAGCGTGTACACAACCATTTGCCGAGTTAAATTTAACTCGTGGTTAAAGGTGACATTTCGAAAGTTATTTCTTATGTTCGAAAATCCCTGTGTTACCGATCGATCGGTTTTCGAGCAGAACTCAGCCACGGTTGTCAAAATTTAACTTCATGTCTGTCAGAATTTTTTTTTCCTTTGGTTTGTTTTTTCCGTCGATCTTGTTTTCCGTGCTTAGCACCAATGCTACCGACGTGCCAGGAAGGCAGCTCCCACACCTGGACCCTACCTATCGACCCATCAACTCATGAACCGGGAACCAACGGCTTTACTTCCCATCCGAAGGAAGGCGTGATCAGAGATGTTATGCCTCAGAACATCCCGGCGGCGCCGACTGGTATTGAAACCAGGCCTGCTGGGGTGAGAGATAATCACGCTTACCACTACATCACCGGCGCCGTTCGATGTCTGTCAGAAATAACCACGCTCGGATAGCAGGGTTAATCTAGAGTCTTCTTCATCTTTTTTTTTTTATTTAACGTCGGTCTTTGTTCCGCAATCTAGTGCCAATCACCGACGGACATCGATTGCCATCCATTGACGGCAACCGAATGTGCAGGAAGGCAGCTTCCACACCTGCGTAGGATATCGCACCCATTTATAATACACATGGGCCGGGACCAACGGCTTTACTTCCCTTCCGAAGGAAGACGTGACCAGAGATTTTTATGCCTCAGAAAAATCCCACCGACCTCGGCTGGGATTGAACCCAGACCCATTGGGGTGTTAGAAAGCAGTCACGCTTACCACTATACCACCGGCGCCGGCCTAATCTAGAGTCAGTGTATAATGAGTCACGCCAAGAGTGAAGCCAAGTCTACCTATTGAACTGTCAAACCGGCTACCTATCGTGCAAAGTAAACAAACATTACGATGCTATGAGAGGTCAACGAAAGGTATTGCAATAAAATATAAAATATAATCGAAGAAATGATCATAATCATGCAGTGAGCATTAAATTGTCATGGTATACGTTTAGTAATGATAAGTAATGAGAATTTCTACTATTTTTGATAAGATAATTTGACAAAATCACTGATATAATGATTTACTACAGCCGCTATTTTTTCTCGCTAGAAGTCATTTGAAGTTGATGTAGAAGTCCTCTGTTGCCAAGTGAAAAGAAAGGGAATCTTTCGAAAACCGTGATGCGAGTTCAACTTTTTTCTCTCTTGGCGTGACTCATTATACACCGACTCTAGGTTAATCAATAACTTTCCATCTGTCAAATTTTGAACAAAAGTTAAAAAAAATCCACCAAATGGTTCAGAGTCTTACACTCAAAAAATTTATCACATATCTAATGGATGAAAACCATGTGAATTTCACATAGCTTTCATGTGATCACATAGCTAAAAATCCCACCACAAAATCACATGAATATTATGAGGCCGATGAAATTCATATGAAAAATCATATAAAATTAACGTGATCGCATATATGTTATATGAAATTCAGATGAATTCCATTAATTTTGTTTATGGATGAAAATCATTTGCGTTTCCAATGGAAGCTACATGAAAACTATTTTCGGTGTAGTTTTTTTTTTGCCGAGATTTGCACCGCCAACTAGCTCAGCATTTTATTTTACTGGATCTTAGAGATAAACTTGCCAAGATTCAGCTAACAAACGGGACTTTTGCTGATATCTCAGCTACCAAACATAAATTTTGCTGAATCCTGGCCATTTTTTCACTGAGATCCAGCAAAATAAAATGCCGAGCTGCTCGGTGGTGCCAATCTCGGCAAAAAAAATCTATGTGTGTAGGTGTCAGGTGAGGCCCGTCAGCGATAGAGTATTTTGTATGCTCTTTATCGGCTTGTCATTTGATACAAATACAGATATTTGCACACGAAAAAAAGTTGGGACCCCCTTGTTTATGTTGATAGAGAAAGGTACTTTAACAAGTTTGTTAGCTCAACAACTAGTTAATTTTTGGAACTATTTATTTGGCTACCAAACTTGGTATAGTACCTTACTGTATCAACATAAATAAGGAACTCCCAACTTTCTTCTTGTGCAAAAATGCGTATTTGTGGCTTCGCTGATCTACAGTGCGATGTAAACGTATTGATAGGAGAAATAATTCAAATCTGTGGTACATTCGCATTCCACCCGAAATGCTAAAAATGATACGCTTCGATTCCTGATCCTGATGATCGTTTTGAATTGATTATTGCGAATCCAGAGAAAAATTAGCATTGCATTTGACAAACGCAGCATGCTTTTAAAGCTGCGGTTGACAAATGCAATGCTAATTTTTCTCAGGATTGGTAATAATTGGGCATACACTTAACTGGGAAATACAAGATTATATTATATATATGCATGAAAAGTATGCAAAATTTGCAATGTTTCACGACATAAACTGACTCACTGGAAGGTTTTTTAAAATAATTTTGTAATTTTGTATGTTGGCTTATTTTTCAAGCAAAGTTTGTTTCCCCAAATGCATTACATTTACATTTACATCATCTCGTGAATGTTTTAAACAAAAATGTGCATTCTGGAAAACCTCGTTTGTACGCTGCAATCCATCGCAAGAATTGACATAGCATTTGTTGTATGAACCATATGCAGAGGATGTAATAAATTCAACCTTATGGATGTAAGAGAAATTTGTTTTGCGCATAGAGTATCAATGTGATTGCCAAACAATATTTGAATGTATGCTTGACCATTTCTAAACTACCAATGATTACTGTGCTGAAAGCAAATTTGCATGAAGAAGAAAACAGAAATCACATTCATTATATTTCACCCAGCGCATCAACCTCCTCATTACATCCCGCTAAAGCCAATACTGCCTGTTCTAGTTTAACAACCTGTGTACCGAGCTCGCGATAAACTCACCTCGGTTCGACCTTTCGAGTACATCTTTAGCGCATCTATGCTAACTATATGATCCAATCAGCATTGCATTTAACAAACCACATCCAACCCGTCCGCCAACCCTTCATCCATCCTTGGCGTGCATAAGGAAAGGAATGAAAACGGAGAAGCGTCGCAAAAAGTGTTACCCTCCGGCAGCGACATCGCCATCGTCGTCGGTCCACCAAACGGCCGCGGATCTTCGTAAATCGCCCAGCAAAGGTATTATTTTACCTTGTTCTCGGCGTGCCACAATTCAACACCCGCCAACAAGGGTCTTTTTCTCCTCGTTCGCCGCCAGCCACCAGGGGGCATGCATGTACCCGCATGAATTAATGCATGCGGCGGATGCATTTGCCTCTCTTTTATGGGTTCTGTTTTGTATCTTGCACGGACACATCTTTTCCCGCATTGTTGAGGAATATCGAGATTTTATCGATCTTACAGCTTCTCAATTCCGAAAACAGTGTGCCATTTTCCCTCCGCAACCCGTCGAAACGCGGCGTAGTTAAGTTTTATTTATTTATTTACCAACATTATCGTAAAATTTTAATCATAAATTATTGTAATATTTTCGCTCGCGCTGAAGGAAAGCAGACTTCGGGCTTCGGCATGGCACACCACCATGAGACACCCATCAACAAGCACCGACAGACGTTGGTGCGAAAGAGGAGCAAAAATCCAATCAAAAATCGATTATATTCGAGAAATGCGTCTCCCTTGTGACTTTCAACACCATAAAACAGGTAACCGATCGATGGGTCCATCAAACTGGTCAAGCTACCCGCATAAGGTACCTTATCTCACCTTACATCAAGCTTTCTCGCACCATTTTTGGCATAATCGGCTTGGTGAAATTACCGAGTCGACATCAACCGTCCTTTGAAGCGGGAGGGGAGCCTTGTTTCAATGCAATTGTTAAAATATGTGAAACGAAACTGTCCTTTTTCAACTAGCACACTTGAATTATCAGAAATCTAATTGCTCATCAACTTCACCGTTTTCCAATTCTCGCCATAGTACGGTACTCTACAAATACAAGTGTAAGAAGATCCCAGTGAATCCTGTCGCCAAGGCACACTTTAGTATGCACCTCGATTAACCTCGTCCGATGTTGTCGTCGTTAAAGCCGCTCTCCCCGCACCAGCTCCCCGCATTTTCCACAATCTCAGCGTGCAAAGCCAACAAGTTGCGTTTTTTTTTACAGCGCACATATAATTAAACCTTTCCTTAAGTACCAATTTCAAGCAATCGGTCGATATATCGCGCATCGTTACGTCCTAAAACACCTACCTATATAGTAAATTTTCAGGCTATCCTCTACACAAGTACACATAAAAATCCAAATAAAATAATTTAAACTTCATTTTAAAATTAATATCACATTCTTTTTCGCCGACACGTAACATGGTACGCCAATAATTGACCACCTCTTGGCCACGATCGCTGTCGTCGGTCGTCCCTGCTTTGTCCCTTCCTCCGCAACAAAGTTTCCACTTAATTTACAACCGCTCTCACAGTACTGTCTCGTTGCCGGTGAGGCTCATCGTCTGGGAGGACGCCTTGTAGGTGCGCGGTTTTCGGTTGATGTGCGAATGCGAGGGGTACTTCCTCGCGTGACGAGGTGGCAGTTTTCCTATCGAAACGGACACCAACGAGTTCTGTGGGCACACCACCGTCTGGTAGGAGGCCGCCGAGTACGGTGAGGTGTTGAACTTTGGTTGCGGTTGTTTGTAGACCTGGTTGTTGATCTTACTCCGACAGAGACCGGCTATCCGAGGACCGACGGCCCACGCTGAGGCTAACACTCCGACCAGCAGCTCTATCACCGCTCGTAAGATGAAAGGCCAAATCGGAGCCTTCATCGAGGACACCGGTTCCAGCGATGGGTGCGGTATGCTCAGCCAGGTCTCCCGGTACGCAAACTCATAGAACATAATCACCAGCAGCAGGAAGCTGGGCACGGAATAGATGAACAGGAACTTGCCCATACCGTTGATGTGCACCGGGAGGTTGTTGACTAACAGAGCGGAGGACGACCGCTTCCGAAGGTACGCCGTGAAGAGGTAGCCCGAACCGATGACCCAGTAGGTTAGCAGCGGAACCACGACGAACCCGAGCAGGGCACGGTCGGATTGGTTTCCGATGAAGCATGAACCTGGAAAAAAAGAGATCGAATTTGGGATAAGTAATAGGTTTTTATTGTTTGAGAAAATGACGATTAGATTATGGCATGAGAGCCAGTGCTGTAAATTTTCAAAATCATTTGATCATTTTTGATGAAAATGAGAAAAGCAGCTATTCACTATCAAAGGGGACCTCCTCCGCTATCAGTTGCTTAGTCATTTGACGAAGGCATGGATCATTCTCATTTGAGAAACGCTATATATCATTCAATTGAGTGTAACCTACACACAAACGGAGCTCTGGTCGACATTCCGGCGAAAAAGCTAAGCCAACCCGACACCAACCTGACTTCTATCAAACCCCAACCCGATGTTGACCCGACATTGACCCGACATTGACCCGACATAAACCCAAAATTGACTCAACAACAACACGACATTGGGTCGACATCGACCTTAAATTAGCCCTACATTGATCCAACATCGGGTCGACTTGTCTGTTCGGGACCTTTTTTTTCTGGATTTCTTCCATACTCCACTGTCGTATATCAAATGATAGTGAGTGACTCAATTGACAGTGACAATGAGCTTCGAATGAGAAAGGGGCTCTTCAAATTACGGTCATGTGAGAATTCGTTTACACAGAATTGATTGAATGGTTGTATTGGTTCATCTTCAATCGAATGATATGAAAATTTACAGCACTGAGAGGAGAAGTACATTAAAATGGCCATGGTTACTAAAAACCTGAATTAATGCACCTTTGATTATGCTAATTAAAACTCCGATAAAAATGCTGAAATCTGCATGCAAGGAAGAGAAGTCAAACCATTTATTAATGATATCATCGTGGGTCTGGTTATTCAATAGTGAAGAATATGATTTAATATGTGGAATGATGGATTCTAATTAAGATGTGACCAATGCACAGTGGAGCGACTCCTAGCAAAATGGTACCGGAACAGGTAAGGGAGCTGGGTGTAAAATTAACAGGCGGGGTAACATTAACAGGTAGAGTAATCACGTCAAAAATAGGTAAATTAATGTCCAAATCTAAACATCCACTAAATTCTATCCATTATTATGCGTATTTGACGTATTGCTGAGGATTTACCGTGATTGTATTTTCAATAATTCTAGGTTTTAAATAAGCGATTTTGGGGAGTAAAATAAACAGATCAAGATGGGGCTCAAATGAACAGTGTGCACATTGCTCATTTTACCCTCAACAGTGGCTCAAAGTACCCCCACTGTTTGTCCATTTTACTCCCATCACATGTTCATTTTACCCAGAATATTTGTTTATTTATTTTTTCCCACTGCATTTTTATTTACCCTCATGCATAAAATACAGCCTTGTATTGGAAATTGGTGATAATACAGGTCAAGTTGTTGTAGTCTTTCTGGCCCTGTGGTTGAGAATGGTGACGGGGTCTTCCAACCTTCTACATCAGGCAAGTATGCGTTTTTTGAAAACAGTTCTTCTCCTGATCCGTCTCTGTGTTCCAGAGTACCACCATGCTCGGTTCGGCTGATCGATCATTCTGCAGACCTCCAACCGACTTCGTTCGACCGCCTGTTGGTGTATTACCAGAACGTTCGTGGCCTGCGAACAAAGATTGATGATTTTTTCCTGACTGCCGTTGACTCTGACTACGATTTCATAGTTCTTACGGAAACTTGGCTCGATGACCGCATTAATTCATCTCAATTATTTGGCAGTCTATTCACGGTATTTCGAAACGACCGCAACCACCAGAATAGTACCAAATCGCGTGGGGGAGGCGTCTTGATTGCGGTATCCAAACGCCTAAGCTCCTGCATCGATCCTGCTCCAGTTTGCACTTTTCTAGAGCAGCTGTGGGTCAAAATAATGACGCCTCGTAGATCAATAAGTATTGGCGCTATGTATCTACCTCCAGACCGGAAATCTGATTCGAGCAGCATTGCAAACCACATCAGTTCGATTGGTACCGTGTTCTCTCGACTAGAACAAAACGACCTAGCTCTGATATTTGGTGACTACAATCAGTCTGGGCTCTCATGGAACGTTCCTGCAAACGATCTTCCTAGCATCGATGTTCTTCGCTCGAACATGCCCGCATCATGCTGTGCTCTCCTTGATGGTTTCAACCTGCATGGCTTAACGCAAATCAATTCGATACTGAATAGCAACTCTCGGCTGCTTGATCTCGTTCTGGCGAACGAAGCTGCAGGACTGGAATGTTCTATCCTAGAAGCCCCAGAGCCTTTGATTGGCATCGACACCAATCATCCTGCGTTGGAAGTTTCCATCAACCTATCTGTTCCTGTTCGCTACGATAACCCCCCTGTTGATGTACATGAGCTCGACTTTCGTAGAGCAGATTTCGTCGCGCTGAGTCACTCGCTTGCCCAGGCAGATTGGCAGTTCCTTGACACGTGTTCATCTATTGATGAAGCCGTCAACTACTTCGCTGAGGTCGTCGGCCGGGCAATAACTGATTCTGTCCCATTGAGGAGACCCTCTCCCAAACCCGTATGGTCCAATGCTCGACTACGGAATTTGAAGCGTCTGAGATCGAAGGCCCTCCGTAAATACTGTCGTACTCGTAACCCATTCACCAAACGATTATTTTCAACAGCGAGCAACGAATATCGCACATATAACCGCATTCTTTACAAGAGCTACACAAGGCGTGTGCAGGCTAATTTACGGCTTAATCCAAAGCAGTTCTGGTCATTCGTGAATACCAAACGAAACGAGGAGGGGCTACCAGTCGAAATTCACCTGGGTGATAGAATCGCCAGCAATTCCCTTGAGAAATGCAATCTCCTGGCAGAACATTTCAAAAGCATTTTCAATGAGACTACGGCTTCGTTGTCCCAAGTTGCTGAAGCGGTGAGGGACACTCCCAGTGATGCTTTCAATTTTTCGATTACCTCGGTTACAGTAGACCTCGTCGAATCCGCCATCAAGAAGCTGAAATTTTCTAATGCTGCTGGCCCTGACGGGATCCCCTCAAGCATCCTGAAGCGATGCTGTTCAGAGCTTACAACACCGCTTTCGAAGCTGTTCAATATTTCATTACAGCAGGGGGAGTTCCCTACGCGTTGGAAATCGTCATTCATGTTCCCGATCTACAAGAAAGGAGGCAAGAGAAACGTCGAAAATTACCGAGGGATCACATCACTCAGTGCCTGCTCTAAAGTTTTTGAAATCATCATTAACGACGCATTATTCTCTAGCTGCAGAAATTACATTTCTCCTGACCAACACGGTTTTTATCCCAAGAGATCAGTTTCAACAAATCTAGCTCCGTTCATTTCTTTATGTCTTCGGAGTATGGAAGCTGGAGCGCAGGTGGACGTTGTATATACAGATCTCAAGGCTGCATTCGACCGGGTTGACCACTCCATACTGCTAGCTAAACTTGAAAAACTCAGTGTATCCTCGGGTTTAACTCGTTGGTTCAAGTCCTATCTGACCAATCGGGAACTTTGTGTTAGAATCGGATCAGAGCAATCGGACTATTTTACAAACAGCTCCGGTGTTCCTCAAGGTAGCAACTTGGGACCATTACTATTCTCGATTTTTGTGAATGAGGCCGAACTGATCCTCCCAACTGGTTGCCGATCGTTCTACGCGGATGATGTGAAGATCTATGTGATTGTTCGTAGCTTCGCCGATTGCTGGTGCTCAAGAAACTATCTCACGTTGAATGTACAAAAATGTAATATTATCTCATTTCATCGCAAGCTGAAACCAGTGGCATTCAACTATACGATAAATCACCAACATCTGCAACGTGTGGACAATGTTTGTGACCTAGGAATCACGCTGGACTGCGCCTTAACATTCAAGCTTCATTACTCGGGCATCGTTGCGAAAGCTAACAGACAACTCGGGTTCATTTTCAAGATCGCTGACGAGTTTCGCGATCCTGCCTGTCTAAAAGCTCTATACTGCTCTCTAGTGCGATCGATCTTGGAATTCAGCTCGGTAGGTGCCCGTATCAAGCAGTTTGGATAGCGAGGATTGAATCTGTTCAAAGGAAATTTGTTCGGTATGCCTTTCGTCCGAAACACTAGAGCATAGGCGGACGATTAGTCAGGCCGTGTTTGCAGTGAAAGTACTTATTGGTGATATCGACTCTCCAGGAATCTTGGCTGAATTCGAAATCTACGCACCCGAACGAGTTCTTCGGTCGAGGAGTTTCCTGCATCTTGGACCTCGTGCTGTGAACTACAGCTTGCATGACCCAATACGGTTCATGTCTGGGCGTTTCAACGAGTTTTACGAGTTTTTCGACTTCAACTGTGCAGCGGAAACCTTTCGTCACCGTATTCAACGCAGACTTCTGAGAAGGTGAGTAGCTGTCCATTTAATGAACACGTGAAGGATTGCGCTACCTGTTTATTTTTTGTTTCCGGTTCAACTGCATGACGAGGACTTCTACCTGATTCACGGACAACTCTATGCCATAGGAGGATAACTTTTTTTTATGCTATAGACTTGATTAATGTTCGTTGTAATTGTATTGTATTATTGTGATTCATGTATTTCGAAAAGATATGGGGTTTTTACGCCTTTTCTAGGCTTTTCCCCATCAGGCTTCATTTAGACACGTTAAGTCCGATGAAGAAAAACAAAATAAATAAATAAATACATTGTTATTGTCTACTGTTACGCCCTAATTTCAACTCTATCTAGAGATATCGAACTTTTCCTCATAACAATTAAGACATAAAGTAGAAGACAATGAACAAAATGTTACAATATTGAATAATATAAATGGTTTGTGCACAGTGAGTTTCTAAACAACCAAACGAGTTCAAATTGTTGGAGGCCTACCAGGAACCGATTTGGAGCCGTTTAAGAACTGTGGAGCGAAAATTTCAAATTTTACGCGTAATACACACACAAACCACCAAAAGTGATACGATAAAACCCATAGTATTCGAGAATTCAATGATCGATTAAAGTCTGGAACGCGCAAAAATTGGTGCATTTCTGTTAAAAATTCTTAAAAAACCTGAAATGCTGCATTTG